CAATAAACTCAGTAAACTCAATTAACCAAGAAGAGTGATTGTCAGAAATTATCCTTAGGATAAATTATTAACAAGAGAATATGCTATATGATTTAAAGTAAAAAATTTTTATCAATAACATTAAAAACTAAGACAGTGACTGAAAGATATCCAACTCGACGTTAGACTGTTTAGTGACTTAACATGATTATTGAGATTTTGTGCTCAATACCGCAGGACAGTGAATGTTTAGACAGGCTTCTGTAATTTGATATTTATGAGCCAAGTGCGTTTGTTAACTATTCAAATCTAGTCATTATAGCTTTAGTAACATTTAAGCACCCAGTGAAATTATCTAAATAATTCTGAAATCCAGCGAATTGTGCCTGAACATTGGCGTAAACTGATATGTGATGAATGAATTCGTCTCGGAATGTAAAGATTTATGATCTTATTTCTGTTTGTCAGAACAGAACATTCTTAAGATTGACTGAATATACTTTAAAAAAACTACATAATCAATTGCACTTCCGAAATTTTACTAATACTTAGTCAAAAATGTAATTTTAGAAGAAAATTATGAGGTGAATTATTCTCGAATATTAGCACAGATTACCTTTGTTGTATGAAATATGATCATTTTTATCATTCTTCACCATTTAGAACAAAAATTTATTGCTAAGAGAAATGATTTTGAGATAAAAAAAAAAGTTCAATCGGAACCGTTTAACATCACAGATTCTTTTAAACATTCTTGAAAATACAAAGTCTGAGATCTCTAATTATAGCCCAGAAAGTTCAGGACAGCCTGTAAGTATAATGTAATGGTTTAAGCAGTGATATCAATAAGGAACTCATTTAGAAGGATATAAATCATCTGTTTCCAGAGAGTAACATCCGTTGCAAGCATTGCTAGAAAAGGCAATCTGAAGTACAATATTTATTGACTGTCGTCTACATGATCAATAAACAGTATATTACAAACTTAATGCTGGATATCCGAAAGGGATATTCCTCGAACAGAAAAATGATACAAATAATGAGATAAAGAATTTTGATAATGAGCTGTAACTAGATTATGCTACCAAACGAATTGAGATTAAATTAATTCATTCAACGAATAGATGAAGCTTTAGAGAATATTGAGATCATGAACCCATCAATGTTAAACCACCGTTGAAAATTTGGAAACACTAGACGACCGTTTTGTTCTAGAATACGAAGATGGTCACGCAGTATCGTGTATTTGCTGAAGTTAGATATTTGCACCGTCGGATCTCAACTCAGTGGTCTACAGGTTTAACATTCGCGCGAGACCGGAGAACCAGTTTTGAGTCCCACTTACCGGATCATGAGTGCCTAGTGCTGACGAATCCTATGCTAGTACGAAAGAGCCGTCTCAATCAAACAATGTCATTAATGACGCATTTAGAAACAGACACTCGTCTGTCATACACTTTGTTTACAAATATTAAAACGTACATTTACATGATTTTCAGAACACTGTCATCTCAAGTTTTTAAGTCAAAACCTACGGAGTTTGTACATAAGTATTGTAAAAAGCATGAGTAGTTATTAATAGAGTTATATACAACTGATAAAGTTATCAAGGGCTTAATTAGTTGGAATGCGAGTAGCATGCGAAATCAATTTTTTCAGTCGTCTCTGATATTTATGCACATTTTAAGAAGTGATCATTACAGTTATATCTATTGGTTAACGACGTTTAACTTAATGATTTTGGAAATAATTCTTCATAGAGCAAGCTGTTGTTGAATTAATGTGAGGTACTATTCAGTCTAATGTATGCACAACTGTCTCTTAAGTGATGTAAATAATATGGAAATTAGTCTATTCAGGCATCATCTTAGTTCATTTTTGATGTCAAATAAATCTCTATCTATCGTCTTCGTATTTTACTTGCTGCGTCAGATTTACCATTACCAGCAGCAAGAAATAAGTTATATTCCAGCAGTTACAAAACTCGATAAACGGCCTATCTATACGCTGATCGGCTTCAAAGTAAATAAGTTTCTATAGCCTGAATAGTCTGTTTAAAAGTAAAAAATATGCAAATTTACAGTGAAGCCTGATATGTGGTTTACCAAGGATTTAGTTGACAAGTTATTATCTCGACAACTTACCAATCTCATAGTGACCTCCAATAATCCTCACTGTTCACATCCACACATTTCAACGAACATTGAAATGTTCTCAACTCATTTCACTCACATATTCCAACTTTTTCAACAAACAATTAGAGTACATACCATTGATTAACAAATCACATTGGAAAACACAACCTTTGAATTCTGCATGAATTCATTTGATTCTCATCCACTTGTCATGTGGGGATTAGTCGACAACAGATCAGGATGACTGAGTTTGACATAATTTGATGAATGAAGATAATTGTGACCGTTTGACACAAATAGTAGTTGAGTGTTTGAAATATTTGATTGTGTTCTGTTATTGTTTGATGTATGTTAGTGAATATGATTGAGACTGTGTTTTTGTTGTATGAACAACTGACTTATTTTTGATTATTTCAGTACACTATTAATTTATCAGTTATACATTTTATTGTATTTAGATATAGTTTAATAGAATGATAGAATTATTTCTACGATTAATTCAATGTATTCTTTTGTCAATTCAAAACCAAAGTTAATCTACATCATTTTGTATCTTACGGATACTAAACATAAATTTGTGACGAACTTTTCATTGTGGAAATTAATTTAATTTAAATTAGTTAGCTTTATTATGATTGTAACTTGTATTTAATCCTATGAGCAATAAACTTTTGTATTCAATTCATTGTCACCACCAGTTTTCAAAGCTCATGGTTATATGGTACTTGGATGGGACTACTTTTTTCAATCTGGTAGTTGTAAGAGAAATTTTGAGTTTTTAAAGTCGGTTTTTCAAACTATGATTGTGAATCAAATCATACTTGTTCACAGTTTTTATTACCACTGTCTCAAACTTCCACATGAATAAATGTTCATCATCGGAAGCTTAGTTTTTTTCAAGGTAGTACTAACTGAGATTCTTAAAGTAATGAAATAAAACAGAAGACGATTCCGTAGCTTCTAAATATATATGCTAGATAATATTTTCATCTATGGCGACATTTATTAAAAAGTCAATATTAGGACTAAGGAAAAAAGTAAATTAATATGTAATAAAACATCTTATTGATTGACATAGTCAAAGACTTAAACTATCACGTAAGTAGTAAAATAAATGCTTTTCATATCATTAATACTATTTATTCCATATATTTTAAGTACCTACTTTAGGATGAGGATACAATGGTTTAAGCGATGGTCACTCAACACTACTGTTCCGAGATAAAATTTCACTTCATTAACTTCTATTTAGACATTAAAATAGTACCGTCACCTCTAATATAAACGATGTGATTCGAAATTGAATACATAAACATTTAACATACATTGTATATAATTTATTAAAAATTCAATTTTTGAAGTTAAAGAAAATTACCTATCGGTTTAGGATAAACATACTTCCATGTATTTACTTTACGTTGTAAGATTTTCAGTTGTATGCCTATTTCTGGTTTGTCACTGATATATTACAACGTCCCAGTTCATAAAACAATGGGAATCTATGTATTGTTAGAAGGTAACCGAAACTATCTATCCAGTGCTTCCAGGTTTTTCATGGTGATCTAGCTCTGATTGACTCATGATCTCAACTATTAAAATCACTGTAATATCCTCAAAACACTTTCTGATATCCTCCTATTGTTCGCCTAATTGTCCTTCTCTAAACGGCTCCATACATTGACAGAATGATCAGTAAAAGTGTTTGATAGGATATCACTTTATGATAAAGACTTGGAGGGAGACTGTAAGCATGTTGATATGGTGAACGAAAATTTAATTCGTTAGAGTATTTGTCAGTGGTCTACGAAAATAATTCTTTCCCCAGTTGTCTATTACATTTAGTCACATTTTAAGGAGTAATTAGATTGAAAGAGTCAGCTTTATGAAATTGTAAATCTATATTATTCCATTAAATTATCGATTAATTTATGCCAATTATTACTCAATTTAATTCATGCAAATTTGCCTGTCCTTCAGTGCAAACAAAACGTTCTAAAAGTAAGTGCATTTTGGAGATGGCTTTGATTAAATTTAGGTGTAAGACAAATCTTAATCTACAGTCTTCTTAAGTTTTTACTTGTGTTGTGCGATTCACGATTTCCAGTAGCCAGCATCAGTTATCTCAAATTATTTTAGACAGTCAATAAAAATATTCATCTGAACCAGTTTTGTCTTATTATTTGCATGCTGCAAATCATAGAGGCCCGTGTTCAAAGTAAACAAATGTAGGTTACTCGTTTTGATCATAAGTATTTTCGAAGTATTTCTCACCTGTCGTAAAACTATCGAGTAATCACTGTTGAAGTTAGATATAGGGTACTAAAGAAAGATAGCGTATTGGTTGATAAGACTGTAAATCTTCGCTAACTAAAGCGGTTGGGATAAGTGTTATGTATGATCAACCGCTGCCTACCCAGGGCGGCCCAGAATTAATTTGGAAGCTAGTGGAAGCCAAATAAATACTCGGCATCAGACCATGAAGCCACTCACTGTTGTTCTGGACATGTTAGTCTGTGTGGATTACCTCATTAAGCCAAGTACGATAACCTCGATCAGTGACTGGAGACGTTAGGTGATATAACTCAGAATCGTTCACAATGAACCAGGTACATTTCCCCTTCATCTTCCTTTCAACATTTGATTTAAACATTCTTTCAAATATACCTCTCAATTGTCCTTTTGAACTATATTCTCAGTGTTTAATCTTTCTCATCGTCACTTTTACTGCATTGTATAGAAATCTTTTGCAATTCAACTTGTTGATTTTATTACATCGTGCTAACACGGTATGGCAAATTGGGCCAACGCATATTTGTTTTAGACTCTACATTGATGATAAGTAAGTGAGTGATAATGGCTTACAAGACTGGGTTGACTAGTGCAGTAAATTTATTAAGCATCCCCAGCTAAATAACAAACAAGAGAACCAAACAACTGAGTACGCGATCATTATTTTGTTCTTCTCTTACCATATGTACAAACGTATGAGATAGAATGAACATGCCTGGAAATTAAATACACTATGACCAGTTGGCATGCAATGAAATATCTGAAGATTAATGAAAATCAAATGAATTTCAAATTATCAATTAATATTTTGCACATTATGACAGAGTATTGAAGTTAGTTCCCAATAATTACATTTGATAAATGATGTATTTATGATAAATTAATATGAGCTCTAACATAGATTTTCTTTTCAGAAAGACTGTAAATCATTTGTAATTTTATTTACATAATAACCTATGACTAGAAGTTTATGCATTAAATCATCTTTGAGAAATGTTAAGTGAAGCTAGAAACAATTCAACCTACCAATTATATATTACTCTACTTATTTCAAATGAATATTTAAGAATAAATTTTGCAGTAAATCAAGTATTTTGAGTAATATTGAAAGTTAATTAAATCCAGGTAACTAATAAAAAGCCATTGAGCTGAGCAATAATCATGCTGAGCGATTTCTCAATGAATGTGTTCATATATTCTGACAAAATGTGAGGTATATGTCACCATGTCTTAAATATAAATGCATACACAAATATTCAAATAAATTTGATTAAATTCGTGATAAAGAATATTATGATGAAAATCTTGTAATCTCCAAGGGAAATTCATAAAAAGTATCCTATACAAAGAAAAATTGCTCCATTAGGTCATCTTTTGTACATAGGAGAGAAAGGTAGGATTAAGGAAGCTTAGTTTTATAATTATAAGAAAGGCATTATTGAAATCTCAATGTTTTTTTTTCAAATTTGTGATCATCAAACCACTAACTCCGACTGACGAATATGGATGATTGTCGGCCTTGATCTTTTGTTGAATTGGCATTGAATACCTTGAAACAATAATTGCCTGGATCTACAACAAGAAGTTTATTGGATACTTGATGCAGCGCCAAACCTTGAGGACCGCTTAATGTCTCCAGTTTACTGTCAATCATACGTAAATAGTTTCCAGTTTGATCAAATACCTGAAAGCATATATTACTTTAATTATTAATACAAAATAATAATTTTTGTAAGTAATACGTTTGCTACTATGTGTGTAGAATTTACTCACTATTTTGGAGCATCGTACAATTTCTTATAATAGGAACTTTATAGTACTTTTATCAACCTCCTAAAAATGTATTTACCTTAATTTTGAAGCTAGACCACCATGGAAAATCTGGAAGCACTGGACGGCCGTTTCATCCTACTGTGGAATTCTTCAGTAGTGCGCATCCATGATCCCACCTCACAAGATTTGAACCCAGGACCTATCAGTCTCACGCGCGAGCGCTTAACCATTAGACCACTGAGCCGACATCCAATGGTGTTAATGTCTAACTTCAACTAATCCATGAAATTAAGCGACACATTCAACATTGTGTCCAGTGAGTTAGTATCTCACAACAGACCCGGTTGAACTCCACTGGTCACTGCTTCTCACTAGAACTCCAGGAAATACGTATTGGAGACCGTCACTAGTGAGTATATTGTGAATAGTATCAGAAGTGATTTAGTGTATATTATAGTAATTTTAATAGTTGAGATCATGGGTCAATTGAATAACGTATAACATGCTGGTTGCTTTTAATATCATCTAAGAACTATCGCTATCGCATAAATATGCTTATCAACTGTGGCAAGATATTATTAATAATTTTGATTTAAAATACATAAACTACAATAAAAGTATATAAATTAGTGAAACTTAGTGAAGTAAATCATAATCTATCTTTTTATCTATATCGAATATCATCCCCTTATGCAAGTCTAATCTCAAGTTAAAATTTTATCGCATACAGGAAAATTCTAATATCGAGTTTAATGTTTCACAATCGGATCATCTTATAGAATAATATCTAGGTTCATTATTTTACTGTAATATATGGCTAAATATTTAAAATCTGGACACCTAGTTTCACTTGTCTACAATTAAATATTCATTCAATCTGGAAGTAATTACTATCTTTACATTAGACTGTTCTAATCGATTATTTTGCTACAAAAGGTATTCATATTGAAAAAACCTTTAAGAACAAATTAAACGTGATATTATAATCACATTTTTCACTTGTCTGAAGTAAAATTTATTGTGACACTTTCAAAATCAGCATATAATCACCGATTTGTGTCGCCAATGTATAAAAACCAACGGTGAATACATTAAAGTATTTTATGGGAGAAGACTTATTATTTGCTTCCTTTATTCATATCTTGTATATAGCGACTGATACTATCCAGATGTCAAATGATTAACAATTAGGTATCTAAGACACCATTTTTCAACCTTCTTTTCTAAGAGAAAACATAATAGTAGTTGGTTGCATACAGACATAGTTTCCGTTTTTACCCTTCCAGTATAATTTTGAGACATTGTACATTGCTTAAGATACAAAATTTATTAAAATTTCTTTACACAAATAACATTTGACTTTCAAATAATTATACCCAGTAAATACGAAAACATTTTAGTCTTTTTATTCAACTTCATTATCTGAAACACAGAGTAAACAGTTAAGAAATAACTAGCTAAACATATTTCAGCACGATACTAAGCCAGTAAAAACATCCGCTTGGTATCATTACAAGAATGCAATCTCAAAACATGCGATGGCACTTTCATTTTTAGATCGTAACAAATTTATACCTGTAAGTTAGACAGAGGACTGTCTCTTCTTACCTAGAAATCCATAGGTTTTTTTTAACTGAGCTATAACAACTGTAAACCAATCAAATTTACAACTTTATAACACCTATATATTTTATTTATAGTTGGACATTTCTAAGTAAACAAAAATTTATATTTTAGATTGTAACTCAAAACTTTAATACCAAGGCTTTATATAGACTTAACTTTATCAATAATTAATATAAAAGCTATCAACTGGAGTTTTTTTACATACAATTATTATAATAAGCGCATGAATGAGTTCCATTTATTATTATACTAACCTGTACCCGATTGTTCCCCCAGTCGCTGATATAAATATGGTCAAATCGATCAAATCCAATACCTGTTGGAGCATGTAACATACCCGGATCAATTCCGTTCACTCCAAATTTAAATAAAAATAGTCCATTTACATCAAATACTTTAATACAATGATGTACATGATCTGAGACAAATATTTCATCTCGTGAATTAACAGCTATAAATATTGGATTGCCAAAATGATTATCAGCTAGACCGCGTGCACCGAAGCGATTGATAAACTTTCCAGTTGGCTTAAAAATACAAATCATACAAGATTTTTGATCGACTACCACAATACGTCCACGACTGTCTACAACCATACCTTTAGGACCAGAGAGGTAACGTTGGCCAAATCTAGACATGTAGTGTCCACTTGTATTGTATACCGTCACACAGTGTAAATCATAATCTGAAACCAGATAATTCCCATTGATTGTTTCTGCTACATCAACCGGTCGCATTAACTGACCAGGGTGATATCCATACTCTCCAAAACGAAAGATAAATTGACCTTGAAGTGTAAAAACCTATGTAAAACCAACAGACGGTAATATTGAAAATTATATGATGTATTAAATGAATATTGTAGCAAACAAATAGTCATCATTAAACAATGGTAAATATTTTAAAAATAAGTGGATTAGCAATATTGCTAGACTCTTATATAATAGTCACTCAAACGGTAAAATCAGAACACAAGTAGGAGCGTCCTCTCCATAATCCATATGACTCATTTACCACTTGATGAAAAATACCTGCTAGAATCAATGTTTCACTGAAACACAATTGCCCGACTTTTTTTATTTTCCATTCCTTCTCACTTCTTACAAACATACACAATGACTTGAATATAATTTCTATCAATTGAAAACTAGGAAACACCAAAGAGGTGCTTTGTTCTGGTCTGAGAATTTTATGTGTTAAAAACTCATGACCCTGCAAGTGATCAAAAGTAGGACATTCAGCTCTCATAACCTAAACATCGGAGTTAGGTAGTCCATAATTCCACATTTTTGATCATATATACTGACTTTGTGTTGACTGAATTCGGTTATTAATTTATTTTTAGAAAAAGCGACTTACACTAAGCCATAAGAAATAAACTTCTATTCATTGGGATATTTAAAACATATTATTTCATTGTCATACACTTTTTAGGTTAATTATAAACTATAATATCTTATAGATGATATTGTGATTAATTGTTCATGTTTTAAAAAAAACCGTCGCTGATATATGCCGTAACAATGAATTCTGAGGATTTGAATTCGATGAGGAGAGGAGGGATAAGTTTGTGGAAAATTATGGATAGGCTTCGCTGACAACTCTGAACTAGTATGAAATTAACATTCACGGCTTCATGTCGATTGCCTCAAATAATTTAATATCAATATAAAATTTAAATACTTTTTTTGAAAAAGCATAACTTTTCAAAGAATTTATCCAGATTTAGTGATTAACTTCAAATTACATTACATAAATAAGAAATTGTCGGTGAAAACGTCTGAAATTGTGATGATGATAGTAATAATAATAATAAAAGAAAAATCCAATTATAAGTATGTCACATTTAGTATTTAGTTAAATTGTAGTTCATCTAGGTGATTAGATCATTTTCATCAAAATATTTATTGATAAGCATTTCATTAAGTTTTAAAACATGGGTGTATAAACTATGTTGTTCTTTGAACTTATATTTGACAGATAAATGTTTTTGTATATTTTGACACTGAACAGGTTATCAGGCAAAAAATTGTTTATAACTAGGCATAAATAACAAACATTAAGATCTCTTTTGAAGATAATTATTACATACACCTTAACAACTCAGCTATTAAATTATATAGTAATAAATTTCTTGCATCAAACAATTATGTATAATGTACTTTGAAACATAATTAATATATTACATGTACATGATTCATCTCAAAACCCACGTAAAGATAGTCTATCATTAGAACTGACTGTTTGGCTGTAAATATTTGATATGGCACATTAATATGATCATTATTATTTCTTCTAGATTATTCTTTTAGTCATTTATCAGCTACTTTTAGGATGACACTAACCCTACCATTTTTGTTTTCTAATCTAACTAAAAAAATATCCATCTATGCACATACAATAATCACGTTTTTTTTTCACACATTTAACTATCATAAGATTGACATAAATTATCATAAAAATCTCACTTATAATTAATTAAAAAGTAAGATTTAAAGGCATCATAAAAATAACTGTTAGATAAGAAATGATTTATTAACTTGAATAATAACATGTATAGAATATATGTCATTTTCAAATAGTAGAACGTCAGTAACTCGCTAACAAAAAAAAACGCTAACCAGTAGTAATTATGATCGTACTACTACTAATAATAATAGTAATAGTAATGATGGTAATAATAATAATGCATCAAGTACTATATCAATTGAATAAATGAAAAATCAATAAAAGTATTCAATTTAGGAATAAATTTTACAAAAAAATTCCCATTTTATTATTGAAACAAAAAAGAGTGAAACTGATAGTTAACTTTTTTTTAAAAAAAAATTTATTTTTCTCATTTTATTCATTCAGATAATAATAAAATAAATGGGAAAAAAAAGAGAGAGAACAAATATCTATTTTGATGGAGTTTTATTCTCTAAGCTGGATGGTTTGATCGTGTAAAACTTCATCAAAATCATCCATTTGAGTTATAAATCTTCTCCACCATCTCAACAAAAAAAATTATCTATAAATGATTTTACGATTACTATAGATGATGTTTTATGTTAGAAAAAAAAGAGAAAGAAGTATGTACATAGATATTACTGTTTTTCCCAGATATATTTTGTCATTAGTTTATTGGTGGAAATATTCCATTCAAATTATTGTAACGAATATTTTTATATGAAAAAAAGAAATAAAGAAAAGTCTGTTCTACTGATTCTCACACTTTAATTTTTAATGGCTTGTATTATTTTGTTATTGATAGTTTGATTGGATTTTGATCAGTTTTAGTTGACATTACCTGTATCCTATACCGATTGTCTCGATCAAATGTCATAGTCTCAAGTTTATATAGCATTGAATTAGGAGCCCGAAGTGAATATCATTTCTAGGATGCAAGTATATTCATTCGATGAGGATGATATTAGCCATCCTGAACTCCATTGTTAGCTATATTTTATATATTCCACGTGAAAATTCCCATATTTATTTTATTAAGTATAGATAAAATGGAAAGTGTATCAGCTTTATTTACAGAAATATGTTCATTGCATAATTTTACCTAAAAACCTCAGTATTCACTATCACTAAGATTGATTTTGAGAGAAAACAGAATAATGAATGAAATTCTAGTGGTTATATATTTTCAGAATGAGTTTTGTGGAGATTTTAGTAAATTTCACAGGTTGTAACCATGAGTTAGTTGAAGCTAGACCACCATTGAAAACCTGGAAGCACTGGACGGCCGTTTCGTCCTAGTAAATACCTAAATAGTTTTGTTCATAATAATAATATGATTATGTGTAAAAGTTTATTCAAATTTATTTTTAGCTAGTGAAATGTCTCATAATTATCACTTTTTCCTCTTGTTACTCACATTTATTGTGTTCCATTACTTTTCGATGCACATACTTGACTTTCTTTTTTGAATGAGCATATTTATTCCCTACTCGTGGACACGTTATGGTGATTTATATTTTAGAAAACGTTATAGTCTTAAAAATTGTACAGAGGTGCTAATGGATGACTGTTGTACCATAGCAATCCTCCTGCAAATGTGGTAGTGACTGACCGTAATTTCAAATCCTCGTTTACTTGCTAGGAGTGGTTCCCTGAAGTTTTTCTGTTTCCGAGCTCCAATACAGTTACTTCTTGTCCATATTTTAAAAATATCGGTGTCAATTAGTTTACAGCATCTCGTTTATTGAAAACTCTAACAATGTGAGTATTGCACAGAAATACTCATCTAGTTTATCGTTTAAATGACTGACAATTCTTTTACTTTGTAGCATAAACTACACATTTATAGCTAATGGTGTATAAACATTTTACACCACTCACGAGGTTCGGTAATGTGGCACACAACTAAAGACTGTTAACAAGTACTATCTTATATAATTGAAGTAAATTTAAGGAGATGGTGGAGAAGATTAGTAGCTCAGGTGGATGGTTTTGATGGAGTTTTGCACGACCAAACCATCCAGCTCAGAGAACAAAACTCCATCAAAATAAAGTTAAGGAATACAATCATGAGACCTAAGATCATATTCTAGAATGAATTCCTCTACAGATTCTCTGTAATTGATGGATCATCTAAACCCAAGCAACACTAGACACCCAAACTGATTGATGCTGGAAATGATCAAAAGTACGCACTCATAACACAACCGGATATTGTATCCAGAACCTTGAAATCCAAGAACTTTGCCCAGTGATCTGACTCAAACCTTTTTATGAAAATAGTTATCCAGATTAGCAGGAGAAATATTGGAGTCATTTAATTTCAATGGCTGAAGTTTTCTTTACAAATATGATTCTGTGTCTAATATCCTCTATCAATTACCTAAATTTTGTGAAGTTAGTCTTTCGAATTTTTACTGAACTTCATATGAGTAGCAAGTTAATTTCTTTATTCTTCTTAAACTCGTATTAGTTTAAAAGTACATGAAATCATAGTTTAATTGATCTCATCTAATTGTGTCTAACACCAGATTTTTAATTCAACGGCTAAATATACAAACAAACGAAAATAACCCCAGTGGGATCATTAGTATCTAAATTTGTGACGTAAATAGTATCCAGAGACTGTAAACTTTAGTCTTCTCGATAATCAAACCGAAGTTTTGAACACGCTATCTGTACGATATATTCATTATCATCCAAAGAGACTAAATGGACAAGACTTGCAATCTGATGAAAAACATTTTCAACCATATTAGTTCACATTGAAAACCTAATCAGACAACAAAGTATCATTCACAGATATATTGACGACCAGGACCAACAAAGGAAGACTCGAGGCCTAAACCACACTGATCATATAATACTGACAGTTCTTGTTCATAGTATGCGGTATTTTGTTTTGATACTTTGGAAATTTTTACTACACTGGGATCATCTCTAAATAAGTTACATTGTTACTATTATTGCCATTATTATTACCGTTACTACTGTTATTCATTCCAATGGTTTAAAGACAAGGTTAAATGTAAGAAATGTAAATATTTTTTCGTTATTACCATTGGAAAATTCACATGATCGTGTATTGAGATAATTGTAAAATGAATCAAAATGAAGGATAAATATTTACACAATAACCGACTGCATTTAATCCTAAAATCGGCTTAAATACAGAACACAAAAAAATCACAGCCAATACAAAATAAAAGACTTCTAACATAAAATTCATCACAGTGTTTTTATAAAGAATTATTTTTTTTAATTAAATAGACTCTAGAGACAGAAAAAGCGTAGATCCAATGTTTTTAAAATTAACTGTTAACTATATGAAGATATACAACTTACGACTTATATACTGAATAATGGATTAAACACATCAATGAGGGTTTACATTTTCTAATAGTTGACGTTACAACATTCAATTGGTCAGTTTCTTTTAGTACAAATACATCTTGAGAGGATCACTTCGACTTTACTATCTAGTCATATTTTTTTCATAAAGTTGTATGATGGTTAGCAGTAGAATCTAATTACCATATTCCTTCTTATACTAGGGCTCATCAGCTAGATGCACCTGCATTCTGTTCACAATAGAACTCGATCTCAATACCTTTATCTCTAAACATCAACGTATTATACACTGAGTCATTGGGTTTAAATAGTCCAAATGTATAAATTAATATCAAACATGTTATATTCATATAACAGCCATCTGTGGTTAAGTTCATTTGATTACTAAAACGTTTACTAGTTATAGATTAATTTTAGCTTCAAAATAAATTAATTTGATCGTTGAAGATTTTTAATTAACACTTTTTTTTCTAAGTTGAACAGAAACAAAATGAATCTTGACCAATGTGTTTTATCTCCATGTAAAGCTGATGTACGTAATATTGTAAATATTATTATTCGGATATTAGGACTTACACGCATTCTAATATCTGAATCAACGTTGACATGATTCAGATATTAGAATGACTGTTAAATGCCTTAAATTCCCTAAAGTGTAACTATAATGTTTAGTAAGAAATAGCAGTTTACAAAATTCGAATGCGATAAGGTAATATTCAGTAAATTTGAATTTATGAATAATTAGTTAACTTATACTATGGAACGTAGGATCGGAACTAAGGGATAAGACATAAGAATAAGTTTGTTATAAAAAATTAATGTTAAAAGTTTCTAAATGTTTACTGATCATAAAACAACTTTAACAGGATTATCTATTCAACAAAAATATTTATTGACGTAATTGCGTCATCAGACTGAAATTTAGCACAAAGAACTCCACCATTATATCAATACGTTTAAAATCAATGTTGAACTATACTTATTGTATTATTCTTCAAAGATGAATAAAATGCATTTCTAGTGACTCAATCAAGATAATTATGATTTCCGACAACATTAGTACTAACTTTTATTTGAAACTCAGTTGACGATGGTCACAAAGCCATATGTTTGATAAGTGTTTGTTTCCCATTTTAAAGTAAAATGGTAACTTTTGTTTTCAAGGTTAATTCGAACTCCTTGAACATATAGATAAGATAATTTTTCAGCATTACAAATCCCTATGTATATGATAAAATCTAAATTATGAAATCTTATATTAGACACCAGGACTTTCTTGAGTTTCTAGGTTTCATTTTATTAACAAAAAAGTTAACAATACCTCAATTAGGGAAATATATGAACTAGTTTATTTCAGTATTTTCTTTTATTAGAACATTATTTCTAATACGTATTGGTAACTCATTTTTAATACAAAGCCATTAGATTGTGAATTTATGGCTATAGGGTATAAGTATTTGTGTGTTGTCCCTAGTTAGAATGTAAAATCAATGTGTTGTCACTATCTAACATCTAACATAATCTTTAATCAACGCCAGTGTTCACATTAAGGAAATTATTGATAAACTATATTTATAAATTAGAGAATTCGATATTTTTCAAGAATACTCTTATAACGCAAATATTTGTGAAAACATAATCGAATACAAAAAGCTATATTTTGTAAAATACTTTATGAAAAAACAAACTTTCAAAATGTACTTGTACGATAAGTAGTTAAGTGGGCTAACAGTCAAATCAAATGAATACAGTCCAATCTGGTATTTAAATTGTTCATTTAGCTTAGAATGTATTCTTCTCGCTTAAAATGCTGAGATTTTAGGAAGAAAAATGATTACATGATAAACTGACTAATTGATTGACGGAATGAATGAGTGAATCAAAATAGAAGTATTCATTGAAATACAGTACCTTCAAAAGTCGTGCAACTATTGTTTCTAAAACTATTTCTGATTTTACAATAAAATTCTACAATATAGAGTAAAATGTGTTTTTCATATTGCCGTTGTATATATAAACATGACGACCTGATAAAAGTACTTAGATTTAAAATTATGTAAACGGTAATAATAAATATTAATTATAATAATAATGTCTGTTAATGTATTAAAAAGCTTATAAAAATAAATTAACTTACTTGAATAAATGCATTGTTACTATCAGCGACAAGTATTTTATTTTCTCTTGTAATACATATTCCAGATGGGTTCGCAAATTCACCATTACCTCTTCCTTTTGTACCAACGGAATATAAAAAGTCACCTCTTTCCATTTTATGTAGATCAGCTAATGCTGTTGGCTGATCAGATAGATTTGAATAAGCAGGTTCAGACTGACAACGTCTTCTAGATTGCATTCTGTGTAGTGTACGACGTGGTAATTCACTAATCTCTCTCATTGTTTCAGATATTGCTTGTAGACTTGCTTTAGGAGGAGTATCAACACTTATACAATAAGGAGATCCTTTTATGTGTTCACCAAATAATTTAATTCTAAGATCGTACAAACCAGGATGAGAAATTTTATAAACAACTTGTAAATTATTTCCTTGAATGTTATTTCCATTGTGATTGCTATAAAGTGAAAGACTAGAACCGCTGTCTGATATTTGTTTCTCTTGAATTCCAACCTCCATTTCACTTATGTTTTTCTGAGTTAAGAGGACTGAAAATTCCTTACTGGATGCATTCGCTACTGCACGGCCCAACCTGTCATTAGTGATAATATCGACTTTGACTTCTTCGTTCGCTTGGCAGCGTCTGACTGAGACAAAATGATCCAAGTAGTTATCAGATAAGCTCGTATTTTGAGCATCAACTGCAGTTAAGCCGAGAGAGCCAACACACTTAACCATACTCAAAACCTGATCTAAATCAGTGGGAAAGAATGACATAGTATCAGTTTCAGATGGGTGCAAAGGTACAGGGGCAGAAATAAGCTTTTCGATCTCAGCTTTATGTTTTTGAGTAGCAACTGTGTTTTGAATAACCTTTTGAGTTTGATAGGAGATTTCATTAGTGGGTTGTGTATGTAAAAGTCTTTTCAAAAGATCGACGTGTGAAGATAGTCTTTGAAGTCGAGTCTCGAATTCCGTATGCAACTTATTTATAGCTTCATTTCTCACACTCAAACAAGAATCAAGTTCATTCAACAGATAGTCGTGTCTTTCACTTACAGACCTTTGTATCATTTGCATGCTTTGTTCTATTTGGCCACGAATTTCTTTTCTAACACACGGAAGATATTCGCTTAAACTTTCCAGTTCTTCACATCTTTCAGCCAGACATTTTATTACATCTTCAGCTAAACGAAGTTTGTCGTTTACTTCATTACAATAATCTGATTGGGGTTTCTCCACTGTACCATTGATAGAAACAAGAGCTCCAAAGTCTTTATCAGTTGTGGATGATGTAAATACCATATCATCGTGTCGTGGATCATCCATTCTCTAGTATCATTCCTAGAAAGACAATTATGAGTCTGCGACGCTTCCTAACCGTGAATTTGCGTGACACATTTGTGTCTAACTTGTTGATGATCTTTCTACCAATAGGATTGAAGAGAGCTACTTCGACAAGGCTCTCATCATCGGTGTCGTACAACGTACATTATGTTTACGTCTAACAATAAGACTTAATATAAATATGTTATAATTTCACACAAAAGCATTCCACCTGGTATGATTTTTTGTTTTAGTGTTTGCTTGTATTCGCTCGTTTTATGAACGTCGATGAACTCCCGGAACGTTCGTAGTTTCGCTCCAAGTATGTTTGTGATCTTCCCAGCACTATCACTAACAGTGCAACCGTAAATCCTCATTTCGACCATGTAATTAGATTTGCACACTAAATTTTCAAGGTAGTGATATCCTATAGGAAGCTACATAACGCGTGGTATAGTTTATAGAGCTTATCATGCAGTCGGACCCGTTTTGTTTATGCCCTTCTAAATTGCTGGCTGAAGCATTATACCCGGTTACAAACATTAAACATCAATAAGGTTATATAGGACCGTATCAATCCATATAATGAAAAGTTATGGTGTTGGAAAACCTCCGGACGTGCAGTTGTCCATAAAGCTTTTTACACCTGAACAAGGACAACAAACAGTTAGAAACTTATTTAAATTCATATAAGAGCTACAAATTTGTATTTGAAACATTTTGATGTAGGCTTATATCGTTTTCAGTTGATTGGTAGAAACACATTCAAGACTTATCAACTCTCAATAGGTTGTTGTGATGTCTTTGGGTCTCAGTCAGCTACAATGTAGGACTAGGCACATTTATGCATCGGTCCAAGTTGCCATACCTCTGTCTTTGGATCTCAACAATTTTATCAACCAATAAAGTTCAGGTCACTAATAGGACAAGCGACTTTAGGTAAGGACTTCGCAATAGCTAGTAGATTAAAAATAAATAGCTGACACCACAGAATGATGCCGATAATCTTTTCAGCAGTTTCCGGTTACTGATACAATCAAAACCTAAGTAGGACAGTAAAACTAGTCTGTAATCAGAGTGAAACTGTGTTCTAAGTTTCACAGTTTATCACGTTTCAACTCTTATTTCGGAACCTTAGCACTGAACATAATTTCACAGCCTCTCAGTCAACAAAGAAATATTACTTCTGAGCGGTTTCAAAATAACAGTTTGTGTTCTAAAACTTGGTTCATATTCAGCATCTAGTCACCACTAGATACACAGCTTACGTGACTGCCCTTGGTTTTTGTTTTCAATTATCAATCGGGTCTCGGTTAGCAGTTCACCCTAAACTTTTAAAAACTTGCTTACGCTAATTTCTCTGTCGTAAAAGTGGGTATCTTGAGTGTTGTTAAAGGTATGAGGGCGGTTATCACTTCCCGGTTGCCCACACCGTGGAAAGGTTCTCGGGGTACCTGGAAAGGAAATTGGGTTGTAGGTGGTCTTAAGAGCGTGACCGCAGTACCCAAGAGACAACTGCTTGAGCCCGGTCACACACGACCTTTTTGTGAGTAGTTTCCGTGTTAGCTCTGTAATTGTTGGGACCTTACTGCCATAGACGGAAATCTGTGGAATAAGGAGAGGTGTGTAAGGTATTTTCTAGCCAAATCCTTTTTTGAGGAAAGGCAGCATCACTGTTGTGCTGGTTGTCTGCAGGGGACACCTTACTGCTGTCACACCTCTGTACAGTCAGCAGTGCGACTTCACCCTCCGACCTTGAGCTTGCTGCTTTTAGTCTTACCGCTATCCAACCGGCCTGTCTGGTATGGTAGGACCTTGAAAAACTATTGTTTCAGCCAGTATAGCTCGATTGGTTTATTACGATAGACAAGCCCGACCACCATTTCAAAGTAGCAGCAACGGTTGAAAAGGCCAAAAGTATATTCCAGGAACAACTAAGGTCACGCTTAAGCAATCCTGAAAACGAAGCTGACCCAGATGTTGCTTGAAAAGATATACGAACATCTGTAGAAACGGCAGCGACATCTATTAGTGTTTAAACCCAAATGGTCACGGAAAAACAGTGGATTTTTACTAAGTATATTGCACTGACAGATTTTCTTTAGCTAACCTCATTAGGCTCCGAACACGATAAAGAGTGGAAACAAATCATATCTAGGTTAATCAAGTCTAAGGAACGACCGTGAGCAGTGGTGGGCAACGAAAGCAAGAGATGGAAAAGGTAGTGGCTTTAGGTAACACTAGGCAACTTTTCAGGCTAATAGAAGAAACGAATTAAGAAGTCAACTGTAAGTGAAACGATCTCGGAAAAAGATGACACTTATTTGCTCTCAGCCAAGACGTTTAGAACGATGGGCGGAGCAGTTCAGCTACTCTACAACTACCCTCCATTCCCAGACAACCTGGATCGAAATCGTAGTAGGCCCTCTGACCCTAATTAAAGTTTGAAAATCCATAGCTAATCTGAAACGAGGAAGAGCAGTTGGTCTAGATTGCCTGAATGCCCTGGTACGGCCGAGAGTGGGGAGAGTCCGAAAATGAGAGGACGAAAAGCGAATGTCCGGCGCTTTAACCGGATTCCAAATCAATGGTGCACATGGGCTCCAGTATCCTGCGGGAACGAATGGCGTATGAACCAATCGTTGGTCACCGGCTACCATGGGACTGCATCTCCTTACGATGCTCCACTGCCTTGTGGGTTAGACCTTTAGGTCAAAGGCTCGGGGAGTGGCCCCCTAAGAAAACCACCTGCTTCGGTTTGGGCACCCGGGCAGTATCACAGCCCACACACAAACGATGAACTCTATGTCTTTGGCAACTACTTTCATCGCTCCGAAAAACAAAAACAATCAATCAATTCAAATAATTATCATTACTATTATTGTCATTATTGATACTATTATTATTACTATTATTGTCGTTATTATTATTATTATTATCATTATTATTATTATTTCCCACATTATTCACCCTCTTTCATACTTATACAGCGGCTCGGCTTTGGTGGAAATTCGACTGTATCTAAACGTTCTCGAGTCACTGCCCGGTTGAAAGTTGTATGTTACCATCGAATATGAGTACTGAAGCAGTTTTTCTGAAACCACGTGCGCCATTCAAACTGGCTGCCTTCAACGTTCGCACACTTATGCAGGTTGGTCAACAGATAGGGCTGGCTATGTCTTTGGAAAGTCTTAATATTGATGTTTGTTGTCTATCCGAGACCCGTATTCAAGACTCTAGCGAAGTACTACAAATTCGCTCTACATCTGTCACTTCAAAAAGCTTGTTTTACGTGCGCTTATCCGGGGACCCTGTGGCATCTTCGTCTGGTCTTGCTGGCGTTGGTGTCGCACTAAGCGCTAGAGCTGAGGCAGCACTAGTCGATTGGATCCCCATTAACAGTCGGTTATGTGCTGTTAGATTAGAAAGTTCCATCAAAGTGAGAAGAAATCGGCGTGAGAAACGATGTCTTTTCGTCATCTCCGCCTATGCCCCGACAGATTGCAGCCCGGATGCAATCAAGGATGAGTTTTACCACCAGTTATCAGTTCTTCTCCAGAAAGTGCGTTCGACAGATATTGTAGTACTAGCCGGAGACTTGAATGCTCAGGTCGGGCGTCTAGGCACAGAAGAGAGTCGTTTAGGTGGCCGATGGGGACTCGTTGGTCGCAGGTCAGATAACGGGGACCGTCTACTGCAACTTTGCACAGACCACAACCTGTTTCTGGCTAGCACTAACTTTCGGCACAGTCATCGCCGATGTGCCACCTGGCGTCCTCCCTCTGCATCTCAAGCCTGGACTCAGATTGATCACATCGCGATCAGCTACCGCTGGCGTGGTTGTGTACAAGACTGCCGCTCCTTTTGGAGTACCTATCTGGACTCTGACCATGCCTTGGTCTGCGCCAATCTTGCCTTACTTTTCAGTGGACAACGAAGTGAACGCCATCAACGGATTGATGTTAGCAAGCTGGTTGCAACTTCTGTTGCAAGTAAGTATCGAACCGAGCTAGCCTCTAGGCTAGCTACCACTCCACCGAAAAGTATAGATGAGCATTGGTTGCAATTGCATGACGCCATGAAAATGGCGGGAACAGTCAGTTGTGGGTTTGCGAAACGTCCCGCTTTTAAGCACTGGGTTTCTTCTGGTTCCTTACAACTCATTGAAGCCCGTCGGTCTACTCCGGGTGACCGTGAGTTTGACCATAAACGAAGGATTTTACGTAAGGAAATCGGGCAAAGCTTGCGTAAGGACCGAGAAGCCTGGTGGTCGATGCGTGCTAATGAGCTGGAAGCAGCAGCTGCATCTGGTAACTACCGGAAGCTCTTCCAACTCATCCGAGCCACTGGCAGCAAGAAGTCTGGTGTGAGTGAAACAATCTGCGAGGATGATGGGATGCCAATCACTAACATCCATCGACGTCTTGGACGATGGGCAGAATTTTTCGAAGGGCAGTTCAACTGGCCTGCTGCTCCGGCAACATCGGTCAGACTGTCCTGCCCTCCATGGCCGGTGACGACTGATCCACCAAATGAGGAGGAAGTCCGCAAGGAACTCCAACTCTTGAAGCGTTACAAATCACCTGGCCCAGATGACTTACCTCCGGCTCTTTTTAAAGATGGTGGTGACTTTTTGACTAAGGAATTGACGACGTTGTTCACAAAGGTTTGGGAACTAGAGAGTGTGCCAACGTCATGGAATGAGTCGATAGTTGTCCCTATCTTTAAAAAGGGTTCACGTCGTTCCTGTAACAACTACCGGGGGATAAGTTTACTTCCGATTGCGTCCAAGCTATTGGCTTCCGTCATACTTCGTAGGTTGTTCAAAACCCGAGAAAGATTGACTCGCGAGGAGCAGGCTGGGTTTCGTTCTGGTCGAGGATGTATTGATCATATCTTCACCCTCCGCCAAATGTTAGAACACCGCCATACTTTTCAAAGGCCAACAATCGTAGTGTTTCTTGACATCAGGGCTGCCTTCGATTCGTTGGATAGGACTGTTCTCTGGGATTGTCTGTTGAAGAAGGGTGTGCCTGAGAAGTTTATTAACATCCTAAAAGCCCTGTATAAAAACACCTCAGGCAGAGTAAGGGCATACAACCACCTCTCTCCATTGTTCCATTCGAGCAGTGGGGTTAGGCAGGGTTGCCCAATCTCACCATTCCTCTTCAACTTTGCCATCGATGACATTCTGGAAACAGCTCTGATGAATGTAAGTAATGGTGGTGTGGATCTGTTGCCTGGAGAAAGACTTCTCGACCTTGAGTATGCGGACGATATTGTCTTACTGTGCGATAATGCCCAAGGCATGCAATCCGCACT